TGTATACTTAGTTTATTTGTTGGTTAGGTAGACAATACATTATTGAATTTGACGGTCCATGCTTAATATTGCAATTGGTAGTCGCATTTTGTTCATAAGAAGGTTTTCCCCAAATTAGTTGAAAGTGTGTGGTTTGGTGAACAAGCTTAGTGGCGATTCCAATGCACCCCAAGATCTCACTTCTCATCTCTTAAATCCCTAACTCAACTTAGTTTATTTTAATTGCATTTTAATTAATTGTTTTCTAAAGTAATCAACCAATCTCTGTCTTTGCAATCAATTGGTTCATTAGAGTCGAAATTAAATTCCAACACGTATAATCCCTGCGGACGATCCCTACTCGCTATGCTTCATTAGTTGTAGTAATGGTTTTTATAAATGTAAATTTGACTAGAACGGCTTCATAAACCACATTCATATTTTGACCTTGCGAAGCAACCTCTCGCATTAAAAAGTCAGTTTTCTAAACACTTAGAAAGGGGCTCGTCAAATTTTGGCACCATTGCTTCTATTTTTATTAACGGTTTTATTGGAATTAAACTAGACAATAGTATTCATTAGATTGCTTCTATTTTTATTTTATTTTCCATTGTATAGTCATTTCTCATTCTTGATATTTTTTGTCAATTAGGTACTTGACTATAAGAAAGGCAAACTTTGGAACTTGAAGCAATCATTGGAGTGTAAAGCTAAAATTAAAATTTGATGTTGCTTAAGGACCTTTGTGAGCAATTCTCGGAACTCTTGTATTTTAATTAATTGTGCACTTCTTTGCATACTTGTGATAGCCCTTGTTGAGGCTCATTATATTGCTTAAATATTTGTCCAAGCATCGGCCCGAGTGGAGGCCAATATTTTCTTACATTTGGATTTTAATTGTGAATGGAGGAAATGTTTGATCCAAGTTTGGGGAAAAATTACTTCCCTTCACTTTATACTCCTCCATAATATTTTAATCCTTATGAGATTGAGTCCAATGTTCAACATACATCATTTTATCACGGACTTGATCACTCTTTTAATGCTCCTTATGATTATTGTCCACCCCCACCATTTTGTGAAGAACCACCTCCATCACCTTATTCACTTGAGTTTCAAGAAAAAGTGTTAGCTCTACTTGATGGGCTTAATTCACAAACTTTGTAACGCCCCGAATTTTCTAAATAAATTCCTCGATTTATTCAAATCTACATACGTCAGTATTACACCCAGGATCTCAAAAGAAAATATCTTTTTATTGATACAGAATCAATTTCCGCAATTAAATACACAAAAATCTCTAAATAAATAATTTAAATCCTCAACGCCAACTCTTTCACCTAAGCCCGCAACTAGCCCGAAACTAGAAGGGGGTGAGACAGGGGAAGTCCCAATCGGAAAAACCATAACAAGAATCTCAAAGGGTTTCATGAAAATTAGTTCACAAAATATAAATATACTTTTGAACAAAAATATGTATATGCAATTTAAGCAAAAGAGCAGTCACAAAATATTTGAGATAAAATCATCCAGGCAATACAAAGTATAAAGAACCCTACACTGAAAATTAAATCCGCACTGGATCATCCGCATCAAATACTCAGCCCTCTCAGCTTCCTCTGTATCTCTAAACTCTCTGTGTAATTTTTCCTCTATTTTTCTCATTCTGTATCATTCTCATCAAAGGTATAAACACACAATATAAAGGCAATTTGTACCGACACTATGTAAACAGCTCACCAAACAAATATAAAAAAAATCATCATCACAATTTCTCTCTCTTACTTTCGACAGCCCACCTTGTTTCTTTTCCTCAATTCTCATCACTTCCATCATCAGAGTCGTTGCACTATACAAAGCCATGTGCATAGACAAAGATAAAAGAGCTGCCAAAGAGTCAAAAAGTGTCCAAACAAATCCTCAAGTTGGTCCCATGGCAACATCACCATCATCATATTACAATTTCATTTGATTTCTCTCACCAATTTCTTCGGCTGCCAACTTATCCAACCATAAGGTGCACCTAATGTATATATATAATTGTAATTAATTCAATTCCTTAAAATGGGACCCGCAAGCAAGCAAACCATTCCTTCTTTCCATTTCTCTCTTCCTACTTCGGCAGCCACCATTTTGCTTCCTTCCTCTACCAGACAATGTATATAAATATATTCAATGTAAACAATTGTAACAAAATCAATTTAATCTCATTAAACATCTTTTTAGTGGACCCCACCAAAATAACTATCATTACAATTTCTTTATTTTCTCATCATTTCGGCACCACACTCTTTCCACCATCAGATGCTATATATATATATATATATATATATATATATATATATATATACACAAATGCACAAAATCAAATTTAACCTCACAAAACAATTTTCTTTCCCCTTCAAATTTCACTACTACTTGCTGTCATGTAACAAATAAAAACTCAAATTAAATAAATTTAAATACGATAATCCAATCTCTAATTGGTAGGTCTCCAATTAAAACAAAATAATTAATTTTATCAATCAAACAATATGAGATAAAAAAAATATAAATTAAAAGCTTAAAAATTTGGGTTATCACAAACCAACTTATTCTTTTACATTCTCAAATTTTAGCCAAGCTTGAAGCTCAATTTGAACAAATTGAAAGTACTTTTTCTTGTCAAGAGGAGGAGGAAGAGGCAAATGAAAAAATGGTAAAAACTGCAATTTGTATAGATGAGGATGATAAGAGTGAAGAAGAAGAAGTAGCAAGTGAGCAATTTGAGGAATTAATGAGTCTACTAATGGCTAGTCCAACAGAGCACAACATGACTTATAAGGATTTTTCTTATTTTGATCATGATTTGGTTCCGGCCTTTGATACTTTAGAGAGTGATGAGATGTTGACCACTATAGAGGTAGGAAGGAGTAGGAGGAACTTGTTGAAGAGAACCTTCCTTCTATTATCTCCAAAGACCCTCTTGAGACATGCCTTTTTGAAATGTATAAAAATTATGGTTTTAACATTGAAAGCTCTAAAAATGAAGTAAACTCTTTAATGGACTCCTTAGCTAACTTAGAAGGTGAGGAGATGGTGATTATTGAGGAAGAAAAAAGGGATGAAGAAAGTGCAATTCCTATTAAATTAATTGAGTCTTTGAAAGACTTTGCCTTGCCAAGTGCAAGGCCGCTCATTATTGATTTTATTTTCAAGGCTATGGATGAAAAGAAACAAATTGTATCTTTTATAATTTCTTTTCAAGTCATTTTTTTGGATGATGTTTATATTGTTGTAAGTGAGGCATTAAATGAGAAAATGGAAAAGAGGGTCAATAAGGATGTTTCATATACAATTTTTGATTCGTTCGACTAGTGAATCGACCCAACGTCTTACTAGAGACATTAAACACTAGTATTTGCAGAGTTTCACAACTATATGCCTTCCATATTTCTTTTCTTGCAGCGTCTAGATATGTTCCATTGCACTTCATTGTCAAAAATCAGGTTTTTAGACCATATTCATGCATTTTGGGACCTTAGAAAATTTCTGCCTTCAATTTTTTTTCAAAATTCAGCATTTTATGCCCAGGCAGTTCAATCGATCGAAGACTTTTTCAATTGATCAACGCTTTTTCCGATCAATCAAATATGGTCTCAATCGATCGAAAATAATTTCAATCGATCGGAATTACATCGGAAATTTTTTATCCAAAGGCAATAATGTTCATTTTTTCGATCGATCATGGCCTAGCTCGATCGATTGAAGTAAATTTCGATTAATCAAGCACTGTTCATAAAAAATAAAAATAAAAATTGTTGCATTTTTTATTTCCTTGCATTTTCATTCCTTGCATGCTTATTTGTTTTGTTTTTGTGAGTGTGTACATACTTGTTATGTTTAAAAAAATAAAAAAATAAATAAAAAGAGTTTTTATTTTTATTTTTTTCATTATTTTGTTCTTGCATCCTTTCTTACTTTTTGTTTTTCATTTCTTGCATTGTACATATTCTTTCATTGCATTGTACCTTCTTTATTTTTCTTTTTGTATTTTGTTTATGCATTTTATTCTTTGATTTTCTTGCATTTTGTATATACTTGCTTTCATTAAATGAAAAATATAAAAAAAAAATTCACTATTGTGCCCTTATGTGTAGTCTTGCTACTTTCATATTTTCTGTTGGGCTTGATCTCATATATCTCTTTCATCTTGTGCTATATTGCCTTAGATTGCATGCCTTGGTTATTCTTATCCCATTTGATGTTTGATGTGAGTTTGCTAGTGTGGTTATTCAAGTAGGTTGTTGATTCCAAATTTGGGGGTGCACTATTTCCCAATGGATCACTACCGGGCTTCATGTCTTTGCCACCATGATATATTCTTTCCATCTTTTTCATTGTTCTCATTGCACATTGAGGACAATGTGCGGTTTAAGTTTGGGGGTAAAGTGACTTTGTTGCATTCTACTTAAGTTAAGTTTTAAATGTATGATTGAGATTTGAGATTGATGTTTGCGATGATTTTGATCTTTTGAGGACCATGATACTTAGAATTTAAAAATTGCTTGACTTGAGAGTCCAATACTCCTTATATGCTTTATGGATGCCATTTAGGAGTAAATTTTTCAAAATATCGATATCTTGCTTGCATTTGTGGTCCACATCATCTTGATTTTGTGATTATTTTGAGATTCACTCTAGGATTCTACACAAGCATAGGCACACACTAGCATTCATTTGTGGGGTACATGCACTACAAGAAAATGGGTTTTTACGACCTAGTATTTACGGGATCTTTTATTTTGCCTCGTAGAAGCTACCTTTCACGAGGTTTATAAGAGGCCACTTGTAATTGTGACATAAAGGGTCACTCTTTCACGGGATGTTATTGCAATCCTCGTAAAAAACTGTTTTCACGGGAGGTTAAAGTCACTCATTAATAAATATATTTTAAGGGTACAATTTCCTCCCATGAATATGAAAAAAAATATTAAAATTAAAAATCCCACCCACATATTTTTGCACTCCCGCATGAAACTCTTTGATGAAAAAAAAAAAAAATCTTTCAGTAATACACGGCTCAACAGACCTCTTTGCCTCTTTTGATAATCCCTAACACAAAAAATCTTCTTGTGTACATCTTGCTGCAAGGGGGCTTTTCATCGTCATCTTTGTCACCGGTCGCCATCCTCGTCTTTGTCTCCGGTCGCCATCAAAACAAGCCTTCTCTCTCGCCCTTTATCTCATTGGTAAGCAAAATTCTTTCTTACTATCAAAATATTCCAAAGCCCTAATTACCTTTCTCTTTTAATTCGCCCTAAGTACAGCCATAGCTTGCTCTTAATTACCTGAAGATCCATATATATATATACAGAGAGAGCCATCTCTCTCGCCCTATGACAAATCGCCCTAAGCCTTAATTTCCTCTCTCTCTCCCCTTGACCCTCTTTCAGTTCGCCATCAAAGCATGCCTTCTCACTCGCCCTTTGTCTGAAAGGTAAGCAAACCCTAAATTTTCTCTTACTATCAAAATATTCCTAAGCCCTAATTACCTTTCTCTTTTAATTCAGCCCAAGAACAACCATAACTTGCTCTCAATTACATGAACCATAGGTTGCTCTGATAGGGTTCGCCTTCTTCAATTGTTGTAGCTCTATATCTATAATATATATATATATATATATATATATATATATATATATATATACATACTTTGTTCTTTTGCTTTGTGAGTTGAGAACGTGGGTCATAACCGTCATATATAGCATGATACATTAATTTTTCATGACAAAGATCGCTTTATTGCTGTCACTATCGAATTTTCATGTCATAATCTTTAGATCTGTATAGAAAATAATTTTCTTTTCAACTGTATTTAGGTTTGAAAGGGTTGAGTAACTTGGAGGAATTGTGTTTAGATTATTTTTCTATTGACGTGAACTTTTTGCAGAAATGCTGGAGTGATAACTTTTCTTAAAGGGATTCGATGGCAGATTAGCAGACTAAGGTTTATATGCTTTATACCATATTTAATTTTTTGGATTAATGTTTTAGTTAATCATGAATCATCAATTCCTGGTTAATTTATTTGATGTAGACCAAAAAAATATATATATATTTTCATTGAATGAGCTTTACGGGGTCAGATTGATGATTTTTATTTAAGATTCTTTTTTTTTTTTTTCATATGAAAATCTTTCCATTTACAAGATTGAATTTAGGCTAACTTTCACTCTTAAGCTTCCTGTGATTTTGAAAATTGATTACTCTATTTTTAAAGTCAAGTGATAGTAGGTGGAAACACATGCTTGTTTGTATTCAACACCCAAGTTGAATTTCATTTCCTTAGGAAATCAATTGACAAGCATGCCCTTTTAAGTCATTATCTGAAACTATATTTTTTACTTTACAGCTAAAAAATAACTCTCCAATCTATAGCCCTCAGGTATGATCAGTGGTTAATTAGTACAGTTTTCTTTTAGTAATTCTTAGAAAATTTGGAACAGTGTCTAAATTTTAAATGTGTATTGTCTTAAGGGTCTAAGCATGAACATCAAGGACTCTAGCAAATCATATAATGCTTTGGCCTTTAGGTGTTTTTCATTGCAGTTTAAGTGTTTAACCTCCTATCTCAGGACAGGAGGCTCAAATTTGATATTCTTTGTTACATAGGGAAGTTAGATATGATTTTTTTAGTCTAACCCATGTTCAAATAAAATAATCTTGTCCTATGATCTTGTCACTGTTATTTATCTTTGGGCACTTGTATTATTACCAAAAACCAATGTCCTAATCAACCATGACCATTATTGAAACACTTCTTTATTGGATATCATACCACTATTAACAGTACAATATTGATCATATCAATTTGGATGTGCATGAATAAGTGAGATATGAATGTTTTAATGGGATTTTTGGGCTTCCTTCTGATTTATTTGTTTATTGTAGGAAATTCATAAAACTGATCTGATCCATATTTGTTTATGACATAATGCGCTTCATCTTCATTTTGGTGAGCTTCAAATCGTGTTTGAAAATTTGTTTCTCAGGTAAACTTCCATACATCTCTAAAATTTTTGTTAGTGGACTCCTCTGTAGTTTTTATTTTTTTATTTTTTTTATTATGGGTATGTGATAGAATGAAGTGATGTTTTTTTGTGATACCCCTCGATTCTAGAACCACGGGTGATCAAGTCCGAGTACAGAATACAAGGGATATCAAACAATTAATATTTAAACAAGCATTTGAATACAAAAAGAATAATAAAGAATTAAATAAATAATAAGCTGAAGGAAACTAAATAATAAATCCCTATTTTAAAATCCTCAAATAAATAATAATTAAAAATCCAATAATAAAATCATCCAATCCTCGGATACTAGTAATTAATTAAACTACAACTCGGGAATCCATATTGTGAACCCTTAATAATATCCTAACTGAAAAAACTGAACTGAAATAAAACTAATAATTAAACCATGAAGAAGAGTCCTACGTAGAGTCGGAAGAGTGAATGACTGTCTCTGCTCGGCATGAACAATCTCTAAGATTGGAACTGACGAACACCTGAAAAATAATGGTGGGTTAGGCCCACATACAAGTTCTAATCTACTACATCCCAAACAGAGACCCGATACACGTACACATCCTAATTAATTCAATAATAACTAAATAGTCCATAAATAGATATATACACACTAAAGGAACCTCACTAGACTATAGAGTTATCTCAACCTGAATAGTAGGCAACATGTAAAACGCACATATAGTGGGCATGAGTACCTAGACCTACCAAGGTACACAACTACACTATATCTAGCTACACATCCCTAGCAATATACGCACCTTAACCCCTGATCCTGAGACTCACGCTCATATCATGGCATATAATTATATATGTAAAATCTATTCTAATCCAACCATCAAAAATAAACTATCCAATTATTATTTTAATAAAATGTCATCCAACTATTCCGTTGACCTGACACGAATAAGTAGAACTTCACACTGTGGTTAATCCGTTCCCTTATTAAAAATAGGTAGGACTTAACTCGTAAGTTAATCCGTCCCTAATATGCCCCTATCCCATAATGGTACATTAATCCATAACAGAACCAAATAACAGTTTCCAATCCAAGGATAATGTAAATAATATTTACATCTAATAATCCAAATAAATATGATATAAATCATAAACACATTCTTTGCATTTAGTTGAGTAAAAATATCAATTCTAAATAGTATACATTTGATTTACATCACAAGAAATTAACACGCATATCAATAGAATTGTACATCTCCATGTTCTGATTAAATTAATTTAAATCTAAATAAATGATTAAAATAATTTAATCCAACAATATTAAATTAATTTATCCTTTTAAAATTAATTAAATTCCATACTTAACATGTAAACTTAAATCATGCATTTCAATTCTTAATGAATTTATTTAAATTAAATAAATATTTAATTTAGATCAATAAATCGAAAATAACAAATATTAACTTAATATTCTAGTATTAATCAAAATAACATTTTAAAAAAACATTTAATGCATAACTAATTATTATTATTGTTATTATTTTCATGTACACAGAATTCATTCCTACCCACTATGTATGCAGAAAACTAAATTTAAATTACAAATTTATACTACATGATGCATTCTTAAAGCCATGTTCGGCGTGCACCATTTATACAGAAACTTAGTTTTGAATTTATATACACTTTATTCATAAAACTAATTAATGGAACACATAGTTGACCTCGTTCGGCGTGCCAATTCTATCACAAATTTGGACTTGAATGACATGAATACAAACTGGGTTCAAACACAGGCCACTTACGAAAATCTTTATTATTTTACTTTATTGTTTTTGTTTTTTTTTTTCCTTTCACTATTATTAATTATCCTATGAACCAATCTATGTTCTAGAATTATCCCGATAACAATTAAACATTATATAAACACACCTTGAACATCATAACCACAATATATACATCTATTTATCAAGATATGAAATTTTATTACAAACCCACTATTAAAACACATAAACTGAAATTTCTAAATCAATCCATATAATTAGATCCAATTAATTTATTTAAAGAACCTAGAATTAATCTAGCATGTATAGAGTATGAATCAAAGGAGAAGAGAAGAATTAAAACTTGCCTTTAGGGATTTGATAAAAACCTTAGCCTCCTTCTTCCTCTTTCTCTTCCTTCTTTATCTTTCTAAAATATATTTCGTGATTTATTTTCTAACCCCTTTTACTAACCTATAACTATATATTTATAGGCTAAATAAAATAACCTAATCCTTTTTCCAATCCAAGTCAAACTAATAATAAAATAAAATAAAATTTAAATACTAAAAAGGTAATTAAAATATATTTTACGTACAATCTATGTGTAATCCTTTTTATATATAACATATAAATATACACATCAGATTATTACTAAAGAACTTTCCTTATATATATATACATATATATATATTTATTTATTTATTTATTAGATATACATATCCAACCATCCATGGATAATTATCCATACCCATCAAATCCTTTATCCAAGTAGTCCATGAAGCTCAATTGGTTGGTCCATTATTACAATCCATATTCAATTCCTTAAAAATATAAAAAAAATAAAAATAAAAATAAATAAATAAAATTTAAATTCCTAAACAAATACACATCATCACACACAATTTCATTTAAACAAATAAATCAATTAACACCTTTAAACAAATAATTAAATCAATTAAACAAGTAAACAATTAGTCAAGAAATCAACTAACTAATTAAATTCAATTAAAATAATTTTAAAAATATCAAGACTATCTTTTTAAAATCAGGGGTATTACATTTTCCATGAGTTGTTGATCCTAATTTTTATTTTTTTTAGTTTCTGTTTCAATTTGTTGAGTGCTGAATGCAAAACTTTTGATTGGTTGAAGAACTTGAATTATATGCTCAGGGGTCACGTGCCTTTAAGTGACCAATTTTGCGGTGTAAAAGAAAAGTTTAGGACTGTGATTAGGATAATAAATGATATTTGAATTAGAAACAAATTGTATATCAATAAATCGATCCTATCTCATTATAGATTTTTTTTTTTTTTTTAATTGAATTGAAAATTAAAGGAAAGTATATCAATAAAAGTTTGTTTGATTTCAGAAGAGAACTTATAGAAAAAAAAAAAAAGAAAAAAAAAAAGTTAACTTTCTATATGTACTGCTTTCCATCATTTGAGGTAAATTTAGGTAATTTAAGTACATATATATAGAATTTAACAAGTAATATGCAAAGGGTAGCAAATGATAAGAGCTTATTGCTTCTTTGATGGTTTTTCTATAATGGTGTACTGTGAATTACTCACTAGAAATTCAAACTTTATTGGAACACACCCAATTCATACCAAGTCAATGCACTAACTCACTTAAATCACATACTATTATAATGATAATACTGACCCACCTCTTCCTATAGTCACTCGTCCAAATTCCCCCTCTTCTCAATTTCTATCTCTGTAGCATTGTGGGTTACTATTTGTTGGGTAAGTAAAGAGAGAAGAAAAGCAGTCCTAAATTCATCTTCCTCAAACTGAATCAACAGAAGGAAGGCCACATTAAAGGGAAACCATAACTGAAATAACAAAACAGAACCAGTAATCCCATGTAACATCCCCAAAAAAATAGACCACTCAGCATTTAAATACTTAATACGCCTCAACATCATCATGGACATACAAAACAAGCAAAGAAAAGTGACTGCAAAATATATATTTGAGCAACAATCAAGCATTTTTAAAAATATTATCTGGTTGCCCCCTCTCTCTTTTTAACTATAAATTCATATAACAATTTCAAGAGAATAATCTTAGTAGAACTGGCTAAATAATCTCAGTTCTGAGAGTATCCCAATCTCTATACTTATTAAAGAATAATATTTAATGCAAAGGTGTTTGTATTACAATTTGGTATTGTAACATGCAAGTTTTTATCTAAGATATCTTTAGTATGATAGAAAAAAATTTGGTGCAAGATCTTTAGAAAAATAAAATGACAATGAAGAATAATGATTTTGTTTAACTAGGTTCTCTAGAGAATAGTTGAGACCATATTAAGAATTGGTTGAAGAAGGTTAAGGATAAAATTAATAGGGGCAACATACTATAACTTTCTGCCACTTCCATACTAAATCCTACCTCCATTAAATGACTTTACCAAATTGTCTGTGTATTTCAATCTAAGATTGACAACAATCTATTTGCAGCAATCAGTTCATACAATGAAACTAAGTATTAGGAAAACATAAGAAATTACAAATAAAATTTAGAAATCCAATAAGTCCATAAAAGAGAAATTATTGCTTATATGTGAAAATGTTAAGGAACATGAGCTCATAAAAAATGTTTAATCATAATATATGTTTTAAGATGGTAGGTTAAGTACATTGGTGAAGGAACCAAAAAATTATAAAACTGATAACTCTATAGAACATGAAATTCAATGCAATAATTGCTCTAGTTTGAAATTGTTTAAGCAATTAGGCCAAACCAGGAACATCAGTGGGCCATAGAGCAATGTTTCAAGCTTAAACTACAAAGCAAAGTATGGAAAGAGACCTTTGTGAAGGGCTCACTTAGATTCTGCTTTATTGGTATTGGAATATCAAGATGATGTTCTTTCATTACCTTTGATAAGTACTTTTCAAACCCAAAAAACACTGCATACATTACAAGATCAACCTTATCAAGAATTTATAACAAAAAGTACATTGGTTGTCTACTAAAGCAAATGATAGAGCTATTTTTTTTTTTTTTTTTTTTAACTTTTTCCTGAATGACCAAGGAAGCGCGCGCACACTCACAATATAGCCCTACCAGGGCTCAAACTCTCCACCTCCCCTTTAGGAAGTAGAGCTCATACCATTAGGCTAATGCTCATTGGTATGTTGGAACTATTTCCTTGCATTGGTATTGCTAGTTTTATTCAAAACTTTGTATTCATCATACTCATTTTTTTCTCCGATACTCATCAAACTCACAACGCAAGTTTTTTCTAAAGTAGCACTGATATCCGTCATCTTCTAAAAAATTAATTAATTTATAATTTAAATTACTTCCTGTTCAATAATTTTCCAAATTGATGAAACCATTACTAAATCCCTGCTTATTTCATTCAACAAAAAGAGACCTCTCACCAGAAAACAGAAGTGAAAAAGAAAAGGAAAAGGAAGAGATGTTCTTTACATTTTATTTTATTTTCCTAGAATCCCCTTTCCTAGGCATTTATCAAGGCAATTAAATGCTTAAATTGAAATATTTATCATTTTTTTTCTGCCATACTCAAGCCCACAACCTCAGGCTTAAGAATTCAAACTTTTTACTCTATTTATATATGTAAAAAAGTATATAGAGTCAAAAAGGTAGACTTCTATAGATAAATGCACAAACTAGAACATAAATACTCCAATGTTATATACGGAGTAATATTGATATATCGTGTTACCAAATTTAGATTAACAAGGAAGAGAGAACGAGAGTTGTAGCCTAGTGATGTCTTTATCTCTACTCTCTAATGGGTGGGTGTGTTATTTGACAGATGCTAAAAAAAAAAAAAAATCAATCTGAGAATCCTTGAAGGATGTATAGTTTTGAAAAAATGACATGAAAATTCAAGCTATAAGAAGTCATTGACATAAAAGTTAAGTAATATCCAGTTGAGAAAACTAATAAACCAAATACATAAAATGCATATTTCTCTTCTACCGTTCAACAAAATAGAGACAAACCATAATTACATTGCAACCCAAAAACCAAATTCAGCACAAACAATAAATTGTAAATGTGTCAAATTGTGGTGATTGATATCAAATAACAATGAAAACAATGAATTCAAACCCAAATTCAACACAACCCAAATAGTGCCTCAATCTCACCATCAGATTTTTATTCCCAAAATCTAACTCACAACATTAGAATTGAAAAGAAAGTAAAAAGTCAAAATAAAACTCACAATTAGTTGAAGACCTCCTGTTACTCATCGATAGACTGTTATATATTCGTGGAAAGATCCCTATTTTTCCTAGTAGTGTTCTGTGACTGTGTATATTAAGGATGAATAGATTAGGGAAGTCTTGTTTGCAATCTGTATTTGCCTCTCTTTGATTTTGGGTCTCTATGTTGCTGTTTTGCTTATTGCTGAAACATAGTGTTTATAATGGGGAGAGAAACGATGTAAGTGTAGCCACAGACTTGTAGTCTTTGTATATATTTTCTCTAAAATTAAGACTTCTGTGATGCAGGTACGTGCTTGGATTTTGTACCATGGACAATGCGGTGAAGGAAGTGTGAAAAATTGGAAGTCAACTTGTGCCAAAAATTAATGAACAATGTGAAGATTGACATATTGATCTATTTTTGGCAAATATTGGATTTTCTTTTTAATTTTGGCACATTGAACAATGGTGAATTGTAAAATGCCTTAATCTTTTGATATGTTTAATGGTGAATTTAAATATGGATTGTTTTGGGTATTGACAATAAGTGCAAATTTTTAGCATTTTATACTCTTATTTAGTTGAAACTATGGCCATTACAAGTTAATTACAGGTTATAATGAATGATTGAGTAGCATTTGAGGGTGCTATATATATATATTTTTATATAATAAATGCACCCTCAAATGTTACCTAATCATTTAAATATATATATATATATATATATATATATATATATAGTTATCTACGGGAGGCTTCACACCTTGTAAATAAAACATATAGATGTATTAACAAGAGGCCAAGTACCTCATACATTAGTTATTGACGAGAGGCCAAATACCTCATAGATTAGTTATTGACGAGAGGCCAAGTACATCGTACACTAATTATTAACGAAAGGCTATTTGTCTCGTATATTAATTATTAACGAGAGGCTAGTTGTGTCGTAAATTAATTATTAACGAGAGGCTAGAAACCTCGTGAGAGTTTTATTTACGGAATGCTAAATTCGTCGTGCTTTACTCTTTTACGAGTGTTATTATTTCCAGTTGAAAGTTGAGAGTATTTACAGTACCACAATAAATGAGGGGCTCAGAAGTCCCGTGAAAAAGTTTTCACGGGAGGTCCAGACACTCGTAATAGACCTTTTTTCTTGTAGTGATGCTTTGTTGATTATTGATTTGGTTATATCCCAATTGAGGTAGTACTGCATTGAAAACTTTCATTCTTGACAAGGTGGATAACAAACCCTTTTCATTGAGTAGTTGGAATTCTAGCCTCATCAAGCACTGAATTTATCGCACCGAAAGGTGAAGGGCCCAAACTCTAGGTTAATAATTGAAAAAAAAAAAAAAAAAAAGGAAAGTTGCAAAAGCAAATAAAAAGTGAAGACTTCTCTCAAAAGGTAAGAAGTGGAAATTGATTAGATGGAGGTTGTTTTGATTTATAGCCTAGTTGATTTGAGTTTGTAACTCCTTAGGGGTGTTTTAATGCCTAGTGCCCTAAAACTGTCCGGTTTGGGAGTCATTGACCTAACACTTAACCTTATGGATCGCTAGAAAGCTTAATAGATCAACACATTACACTATGCTTCCATCGTTGATCCTTAGGATCCAAAAAAAAAAAAAAAAGGTGCACGTAGATGAATAAAGCTTTAATAAAAGGTCCACTATTTGACTTGATGATCGGTACTAGATTTATGTGCTAGTTTGAGGGTAAGGATGTGCTTATTTATTTTATTGGTTTAGATAACAACATATTTGATGCCGGTTCACTTAAAAAGGATTCCAGAGTTGTTTTGATTTGCATGATCATTATCTTGATGTGTGGAGGACCATACTTGTTTACTTGGTGTTGAGATTTTGGGAGATTGCTTAGAAATGGTTGAAATATTGCATACTTGAGGTAGTTTTCTCCCAATGCTTATTTTGTATATTGGTTTCTCTTTAGTGAAAAAGAGCTCAATGTTTGTGGGTATCATTTCTGGAAACCCTCACGAGACTTTACTCGTCCACTAGGGGTAACCTAGTGGTTTAAAAGGCTTGTTGCATATGCTAAATGCAATCATGTTCCCTACGAAAGTGGCGTTATCCTTTTATTGCTTTCTAGTTCATAGTTACTTAGTTTTTATTTCTTTCTTTTCCTTGTACTTCATTCTTAGGGACTAGCAATATCTAAGTTTGGAGGTGTGATGAGTGCTTAAATGTGACGCATTTTATCACATAAGCGAGGGTATTTTAGTCCATTCATCTATCTTTATTTTTCCGTTTTAGTACTTATTTATGTTTTTGTCTATTTCAGGTCAATAAGGTTAAACTAGGCTAAAAATGGTCTATTACAGCCTTTTTGGAGAAAAGCCAAAGTTCCGGAAAGATTCCAGAAAAATTCGGAAAAAGGTTAAAAATGTTGAATTTTTGGATGGATCGAGATTTTTTGGATCGATCGAAGATTTATTCAATTGATCGAAGATATTTTGGATCGATCGAAAATACATTGGCAGTGAGCTGTCTTATTCTTGCGCGCCCGAACTCCACCTACCACATAGTTGCCGGATTAGATATTTTAAGGGTTTATTTTCTGACTTGTTCATTACTCTAAGGACCTTTTATAAAGGGAGAATTGAATCATTTTGTAATATATCTAAAAATATTTTGTCTTTAATTTTATTTCATTGTAATTTTATTTCTCTCTCTAGAAAAGTTAGAGATTAGGGTTAGAAGAAAAGAGAAGAGTAGAGACACCCAGAACACATCTCAAGATCTACACACTCTTTCTTTTTTTAGAATTCAACAAAGAAGAAGAGGAAGAAGATGGAGCCATGTTTGGGGATTGCCCTTGAGGGTTCTAAGATCACACGCACCTCCTCCATGATTAGCTAGACTTCTCCTTGGGGCTTAGATGAGCCCCAAGTGTGTAATCTAAACCTCTATCTTTTTCATACTTTTTGGGGATTTTATCTTGTGATTAGTGTTATAGTCTTGCGAATAAAATGAATCTTTATTTATTTCTATGATTTCTATGATTTAATTCTTCCTTTTAATTCCCTAATTTATTTACATGTCTATGTGTGATTAAATTGGGAACTATGTCTCACATGATTCATATGGTTTAATTCTTCCTATTGATTCTCTTTGTGATTACATATTGTCTTATTATTTGGAAATTGATCTCTACACTAGTTTCTCTATATTGGTTGCATGTCTATGTGTGATTAATTAAGGATCTATTGATGGCTATGCATGGTTTTCATTGAATAGGTTTGTCAATTAATTTGATGGATTATTCTTATGCTTGATGGGTTGCTCTACAATTCAATTCATGCTTGTAGGTAGGTAGATAATCTATACTTGATTTGATATTACATAGCTTATTATTACAAATTCCATAATTCTCTAGATTGATATGTGCTACAATTGTGACTAGTTTGATTGGTCATGTTTAGAATTGATCGGTTGTTCTACACTTAGTTTATTTGTTGGTTAGGTAGACAATACACTATTGAATTTGATGGTCTATGCTTAATATTAGAACTCGTAGTCGCATTTTGTTCACAAGAAGGTTTTCCCCAAATTAGTTGAAAGTGTGTGGTTTGGTGAACGAGCTTGGTGGCGATTCCAATGCACCCCAAGACCTCACTCTCATCTCTTAAATCCCTAACTCAACTTAGTTTATTTTAATTAATTGTTTTCTAGAGTAATCACCCAATCTCTCTCTTTGCAATCAATTAGTACATTAGAGTAAATTCTAACACGTATAATCCCTATGGACGATCCTTACTCGTTATGCTTCATTAGTTGTAGTAGTGGTTTTTATAATTGTAAATTTGACTAGAAAGGCTTCATAAACCGCATTCATATTTTGACCTTGCGAAACGACCTCTCGCATTTAAAAGTCAATTTTCTAAACACTTAGAAAGAGGCTCATCAATATATGCTAGTAAACAAGTCCAAGTCATTACAAATATCAAGCTAAAAACTTAATTAAGCCAATAGAACCATTAAATAGATTTTAATTAACTCTTTTAATTAAAATCTCTAAATTTTCAAACTCATCCAAATGCTCTCAAATTAAAGAACATGCCAAGACTTAATTTAATAGCATATCACAAGTTACTTCTATGCAAGGCACAACCATGAGAATTAAACTTTCACAAAAGAAAATTATTAAATTAAAGTTGCAATTCTTATTCAAATAATCTCAATTTAATATATGTTAACAAACATACCAATGCCTAATTTACTAGCATGTCACAATTTAATTCTAAGTTGTATACCATCATGAGAATTAAATCTTAAATATAGAAAATTATTAAATTAAATTCTTGAACTTGAACTAAAGAATGCATACAAGTTGTATAAGCTTCTAAAACAGTCAATACAACTTTAATATAAACCTAAGACATCCCCTACCTCAATTTGAGATGAAAATCTCAAAAGCCACCAAAATGAAACTGCTCCGAATCTAATGATACTTCGGGGTTTTGTTGGGGATAACACAGTGAACAATAAACCCCAAGGAAGTCCTACCAAAATCCTAGCTTGGCTTCAAACCTAAACTCAAAAGACGGACAAAATGGAATTCCAATAAGGCGGAAAGGAAGATATCACCAAGGCTTACAATAAATGCTAAGGCCCTACGGCATTTACCACGAGGGATGAGGTTGGAAAAAGAAGAAGAAGGGTGGCAGCCCCTTGGCTGCCATGGCTGCCAGCCAAGAGAGTGAGAAGATGATGAAAAACTAGTCACCCTATTTGTAGAAAAACCCTAAAAGTGTCCCGAATGGGTCCCGCCGGGTCCGAAAAAGTGAAATTCGTGCAGACATGCTCAAACAGTAAAACTTCATGAATGAAAAAGAATCAAAATGAGAAAAGATGAATAACAGAAGAAACGACATCGAAAAGTGAGTCTCGAGCAGAAAGATATGCCCCGAATAAGTTCGGCGGCAACCGGGGTCAGAAACCCTAAAACTGGGAGAAAAGACCAAGAGGAAATTCTAAGAGTACGTGACTGAACTAAAAGTGAAGATGAATCCCATACGAGGATCCAGGCTCAAAATGAGGCATTTTTGCTATAACTTTCGTTAATTGCATAATGGCTTCTCCAAAAAAGGTTAACTACATTAATGACCCAGAATGAAAATATCTTCAAAAAAATATTTTCTTAAAAACCCCTGAAATAAAATATCTTCAAAAGATATTTATAAAAAACACCCCAAGAAAGAAGAATGTTTCTGAAGAACTATGCATCTATGCCCTATAGACACTGGGAGCAAACAGAGTAATTTTCTGCAAAAATAAAGATACGTATTTCATGGAAATCACTTAGAATGAAGGTACATGAAGTCAAAAACCAACTCCAAACACAAAAAGTGAAGTTATGCCAACAAAGTGACAAACGGGAAAAAGGACGAAAAGTGAATAGTGTCGAAAAATGAAAAATATGAAAATGACACGATCCTTAAAGGAAGTTGTCAATCCAAAAGAAAGAGTCTCAGAAACCATTTTCGAGCACTCGAGATGACACTAAGTG